CCCCCTTATCTAGTTAGTTGTGTCAGGTCTGTCCTCTTCTATGGTGCTTGCTTCGGCAGCACATACATTTTCCACTTCTGTGTTTTTCTTATTGAAAGATATTGCTGAAGTATTGTGTAGGTATATATCCAAATGGCCAAATATTTATGAAATATTTATATTGTCTTGAAGATCCTGTAAATCACCATGGACAAATGATGTATCAAAATAAATGGAAGTCACTTCAGTTAAATAAAAGAAAGTCCATTTCAGTTAAATAAATATTTTTTTTTTTTTTGGTACCAGGAATCGAACTCAGGACCTTGCGCTTGCCAGGCAGGCGCTTATGCCACTGAGCTATATGCCTGGCCCCAAATAAATTGTTTAAAGAAAAAAAAATTGTGAGTCTTAATATTATGGCATTTGAGAGCATGGGAAGAAATTGCCCCTTTGAGAGGCGTAGCTTATTCCTACAAATAACAACTTGCCTAGGAGAACACCTTTTGTATGTAAACTAACAAAGTATATGGACTCAACCTGTCATCTCATTCTCATAGGTCATGCTCTTCCTTTTTCCTTGAGCAGTGGTGGCAAACCTAAGGCACACATGCCGCAGTGGGCTGTTTGTATTGTTGAAAACTCTAAAAGGTTTGCCATCACTGTCCTAGGTTGTCCCCATGCTAGATACAAGTCTGGTACTCCCTTTATTCTCTGATGCTGCTTGAGTTACTCAGCTGAGCCAGCTGTAAACTGCTTACTGGGACTTATCCTGCCTTTTCCATGAAAACCCTGAATAAAGCTTTTGCTTAGGCTTCCCCTCTCAGTCATTCCAATGCAGGGCTGGGGATTTAGCTCAGCGGCACAGTGCCTGCCTGGCAAGCGCAAGGTCCTGAGTTTAATTCCCAGTACTGGAAAAAAAACAAAAACAAAAAATGAATGCTTCTCCTGTGTTTCTTTCTCTTGGGAAGTATCAGTGAGTTTTAGCTTTTCAAAGTTGTTTGTTGTACCTCTCTAAATTAAATCCTGGGTGTAAATTTTTAACATGTTGGAAGAATGTAAGCTTTTATATATATAGATATATGTAGATGTCTATATCTGTATGTATCTTACACCTTTAGTTATTTCTGCTCTGGGGCTGTTTTTCAAAGGTAATAACTGCCAACATTTCTTTCTAGCAAAGTCAGATAGGAAGAAGATAGATATCCTTTTTTCTTACTATAGATACACAATCTTTAAAGATAGGTTCACTAGGACCTCTTTCTAGTTATGAGAGCCAAGACAGTTAGGACAGGTATGTCAGTCTTCTTCCTGTCACTGTATCAAAGTGCTTGAGATGATGTACCAAGAAAGAGGCAAGGTGTATTCTGAGTCTTGACGTTTCACTGCAGTCCTCAGTTGGGCCCGTGCTTGGGCCTGTGGCGAGGCAGCGCATGATGTTGTAGGGGAAAGGTAGAGGACTCGGCTCACCTGTGGTGGTTGGGATGCAAAGAAAGAATGGAAGAGTCCCAGCGTTCCCTTAGGTGGCAGCCCCAGGGACAGGGTGAGCGCTACCTAGGCCCTGCCCTGCCTATTTCAACTTCCACTATGGCAGGTTGGGTAACAGGCCTTTCACACATGGGTCTTTGGGACACTTCCCCAGATGATAGCAGCAGGTAGGTACACGGGTGTGGATTTAGAAAGGAAGGTCCACTCCCCGTTTCTCGTTTTCAGACCTTGGCCACAGTGGGATGTTAGGTTCAAATCCAGGCCCAATTCTTTCCCTGTTTTTCTTTACAGACAGTAGGGCATCCAGGTGGATGGTTCAGAACATGCACGGGCTTGCCCGCATGCCTTCCTGGCTTTAGTTTATGACGCTAGGGTCTTTTCTCATTGAAAGTGACCTTGAAAAATCAATTTTACTTAGCTGATTTACTTAGATTTTACTTATTTGCTGTTTCTTAGCTTTCAAGAGGCCTTTCCCCAGACTACCCCCCTATTGGGAACAAGTTTTTCTAAGCTAAATGCAGACTACCAAAGAAGTACCTAACAGCTGGTGCTGAAATGTAGAATTAATTTAACCGATTAAAGCATTAATCATTTTATTATATAATTTCCGCCTATCTTTGGAATGAGGACTCAGAGAAAACTATCTACAGTGTGAGATCTCAATGCTTGCACTCCTAGGGATGGAACCCAGGGCCTTACGTGCATTCAGCAAGCGCTTTGCCGCTGAGTACATCCCCAGCCCTTTGGTGTAGCACAGTGAAGCAGTGTGGACACAGGAAAAGGTGGACCTGGAGGAAACGAAGTATTTAGTAAAGCCTTTCACCAAGGAGACGAGGCCTGACTTCTTCCTGAAACCTGTGGCAGGTGCAGATTCTCTCTCACAGAGAAGGATGAGAGGATCTGCGCAGAAATGGAAACGGGGAAGAGTACGGGGACTGTGACTTGAGCAGGACAGCGGGTGACAGGGAGGAGGTGATTTACTGCAGTGGAGAGTTGGTTTTGTCATAGAGTCCAGAAAATCACAATACATATGCTGGGAAATTTCTCTTTTATAGGATAGGTGGTCTTTAAATTTTTATTTATCATTAGCAAAGCAAAAAGTTGCAGTAAAAATTAAGGCTATATCATACTGCCTTATTTTGTTAGTTTGATTGATGTGTTTTTTTTCTCTTTCAGAAGAATGGTTGAGACCAGTGATGAGAAAGGACAAGCAAGTGTTAGTGCACTGGGGCTTCTACCCAGACAGGTAACAAGTACTAATTATCATTTTAATTGTCTCATTCATAGAGTACAATGAAATAATTGAATACGTGCACAGTGTGTAGTGGTCAGGCCAGGGTTGTGTGTGTGGTCTAACTCAAGGCCTTACACATGCTGGACCAGCGCTTTATCACTGAGCAACACCTCTGAGCCCCTGAAGTCGGGGATTTCTATACCCTTAAACCTTCTGAAGAGCGTATTAATGTATAACACTGTACATGCACTGAGGAGATCTGGGTGATTCTTGTTTCCATCTCTGCATCTTTACCATGTGTTTGCCACCATTGACCTCCTCTTTTCAGGCAGATAATACTAATACATATGCCTTGAGGCAGATTTACATCGATACAATTTTATTCTTTGGCTAGTAATACTTGCTGATTTGTACTATTCTTTTATTAAGTCTTATATTGACTTTTAAAAGTTACTCAAAATAGTTCTTCACTATTGACTACTTATTTTAAGAGTTTAATAAAATGATGTGTTTTTTATGTATTTGCCAAAAGAGTCTTTCAGGTAGGCTGGACATACAGCTTTGTTTCCTCTAAGAAATAAATTTCTTAGGGTGGGTGTGGTCACATGCTTATAATCCCAGCACTCAGAAGGCTGAGGCAGGAGGATCCTTGCAAGTTCGAGACCAGCCTGAGCTACAAAGCTCAAGGCCAGCCTGAACTGCGTAGAGAGATCTTGTCTTAAAAAGGAAAAAAAAAAAAAAAAATTTTTTTTGTGAGCCAGACATGGTGGCATATGCCTGTAATCCCAATACTCAGAGGATGAGGCAGGATGAGGCAGGATGAGGCAGGAGGATCACTGTGAGTTCCAGGCTAGCCTGGACTACATAGTGAATTCAAAGCCAGCCTACAACTACATAATTAGACCCTGTCTCAAAAACCCAAGAAAGAAAAAAAAAATTGTTTTCACCAGGTGTAGCGGCATATGCCTGTAATCCCAGCACTCAGGAGGCTGAAGCAGGAGCATTAATACAGGTTCAGGGCCAGCCATTACTACATAGTGAGACCTTGACTCATAAAAACAAAAGCATAAAACAAAAGAAAGGAATTGTTTTTCCTTTTGTTTATGACTGATTGGTTTTTTCCCCCAAAAAATCGCATGCCAAATTATAAGGCTGAAGATACTTTACGTCTAATAAGTTTTTCTTTTTCTTCCTCCTCCCCTCCTCTTTCTCTTTCACTGCCTTCTCCTGCTGCTCCTTCTCCTCCTTCTCCTTCCTTTTATTTGCATTTATTTTATGCTTAATTTATTCCTGTACTGTTAAGTTTTTGTTTCTTCTGGAATATCTTTTCTTTTGTGCAGCTTCTTTCTCTGTTCAGGAACAGTTTGCTCCTTTTCATTAAGAATCGTCTCAGTGTGGCAGGGGCAGCTCATATATGGGTTAATCCAGCCATGAGCTGTGTAAGTACGGCAGCGCATCTTGGGTGCTTTGTTCACCTGGCTCTGTTCAGTGACCAGAGAATCTATGTCTAAATACTTCAATTCAACATTGCTCTCTGCGTTTTTAAGCATGTGCAGCAATTTAGGCATGGGCCCCTTGCCCTGTGTCCATCCCCAGGGCTTGGCCTGGGCACACCTGCCAGTTCCGCCAGTGCAATGCCGGAATGGCATGCATTGTTTCTTTACAGTAACATCCTGCGGATACTTGGTGGCCTTTCGGCTGTCCATACCCTTGATGGCCTGGGCAGTTTCATTAAAGTGAATACAAAGATTTGAGCCTCTTGACTTGCATGATTTTGTGGGGTTTTCTGGGTCAAGAGAGTAGTGAACCATTTTCACAGGTCACCTCAGGCCACTTACAGGAAGAGGCAGAGCGTTGGTTCCTAGGTCTGCTTGTCAGAAATCGTGGCCCATATTGTTGTTGCTTTCTGTGTTAAAACTGACCTGTTTCCATGTGTGTGGTCTGAATGGAGAACTTGAGGTTAGCGATGGTGGTTGTCCTCATTCAGTATCATACCTACCCAGGTTCACGATGACAGAAACATCCTCAGAGTTCACTTTCCTCAACTTGCAGGAGAGCTGCTTTGGCATTCCATTCATTATGGTCATGCCAAGCAGCTGTCCTCCTCATAGTCCATTTCTCAAGTCTGGTTTGTCTTTTTATGCCTGTATTCACGTCTGAGTTTTCCCATGTTATTCAAAGCAAATCTCAAGTGTGTCATTTTATTTTTTTTTAAGTGTGTCATTTTAATCATAAATGTTTCAGTATGTATTTCTAAAAATTAAGGATTCCATTTTTAAAAAGGGGTAATGTTGTAAATTCTAAACAAAAATAGTAGTTAATGTGAAATACCTGTTCAGTATTGCTATATAAGTGATAAATTTGATTATTGATACTTATTTGAATTACAGGTCAGTTGAAATTCCCATTTCTGATTAACTGGTATATTCCATTACTTTTGATTCAGAAGTTATCCTTCTAATCTACTGACTTTTCTTTGCTTTCTATCTTTTTGGTGTTTTGAAACAAGGTCTTACTATATGACTCAAGGTTACTTTGAACTTGTGATCCTCCTACCTCCCCTATTGAAATATAATCTTGGCAAAACTAAAAACTCCTTTAATATTACACTGGCTGTCATGGGAATGTATTCGTTTGCCCTCTGAATCACTTCGGTGAAAATTCAAATTTATAATGACAAGTTATCTAAGTGTAGTGTTGGTATAATTTTATAATAACGCATTGTAAGACATATTAGCTCGTTTCCTACCCTTTCTCTGTGTATCACATAGGATATTGTAGAGAGCTTAGATCCTGTCTTCTCAAGGGTCTTGTTCACTTTTTAAAAATTTTATATTAAGCATGCCTATTCTCTGATGTCTATACCTAACACCATATTTTCTAATCCAGACTTGGAGAATAAAAGGTTATCATTTTTTTCTCACTGTGATGATCTTTACTTGGTATATGTTATATGAATTATTTTTAAATGGGCATACCTTGAATTCACTGAGTAATTTAGGCTGATCTTGAATTCGAGTTAATCCTCCTGCCTCAGCCTCCCCAGTGCTGGGATTACATGTGTGTGACACCTCGGTTAGCTACTTGGTATACTTACTTAGCAAAGGAACTTCTTCTGATGTGTTTGTTTCTAGAAAAATTATGAGAGTGCTATTAAAAGGCTGATGGCAAATGCGTTTGTATGGACTTGAGAATAGTGGTTATAAGGAAACTGCTACTTGATGTAGATGTCACTTGATTTTGTATTTATTGGTCATAATAGCATTAACTAAAGTTTTATTTGATTGCTAATTTTTTACTTACTTCAGAAATAGTGCTGAATGTGTGTAGTGATTTCTATCAGTGTGTTTGAGTCCATTGGTCAGGGATCTTTGAGCAGGGAGATTTGAGGAGTGAGCGGTATGAATGTTGTGAGGAGCCTTGTAGGAAACAGGAAGTCACATGCTTTAAAGTTCATGAAAGTCTAGTGGCTCGTATTGAAGATGTCACTAGAGCTTGTGAGCCACAGGTGTGAGTGAGGATGGAGAGATGACAAGGAAGTGGTATTAGTGTGGTAGCAGCAGGACCTTGTCTTGAGGCCTTGGTAAGTCACTAGGACTTGACTTCCACTTTGACTGGGTCAGAGCCCTTTTAGGACTTTGAGTAGATTTTGAGATTTGGAGTGTTGTGGTCTGAATTTGTTTTCAAAAAATTACTCTGGTTGTTTGTATGACAAATAGACTCTTGGGAAAGCAGTACAAAAGTAGGGAGATAAGTGAGCAGAACAGGAGGGTAAAAAGAAGATAAAATGTGATATGATCAAAATGTGAAAATGCCACAGTGAAACCCGTGTGGTTTTATATGGTGTTTTGTTGTTGGGACGCAGTACCTGACACCCAGTTTAAAGAAGGGAGGTTTGCTATGGCTCATGGTTGAGGGGGTTCAGTCTGTGGCTGGCTGGCTGTGAGGCAGGGCTGTCATGGCCAGAGTGGGTGGAGGAGCAGCCAGGCCACCTGATGGATGGTGGTTGGGAAGCAGAGTACAGGGGAGGAGCGCCAGCAGAGACACAGCCCCTGAAGGTACAGGCCAGGTGACCCACGCCTTCCAGCACTTGCAGTGTGACGTCAGTGGATTTGTCTGCTGATGAGCATATCACTCCCATGTCCAGGCATCTTTTCAGGGGCCTCTTAATCCCTTACATTGACTATTAAGTTTAATGTCACAAAGCCCAATTTTAAAAAGAGGAAAAATTAATGATTACAAAAGGAGGAAGATTCTGGATGTGTTTTGAAGGTAAAATTTAACAGTTAACAAATTTGCTGATGCTTGATTATAGGTTGTGGTTGAGAGTAAAGTCAGTGATGTTCTCAAGAATTTTGGCTTGCACACCTGCAAAGGAGGACTTGGCATTTATGGAGATGATGTTTGCCAAGAGTACATTGTTGAGCTAGGGTAGTGTTACAATTGAAGTCTGAGTGTGTTAGGTTTGGAGCACCTGTGATGCTGATACATCAAAGAAATGGGTTGGCTATTGGATTTATGACTTGAGAATTCAGAGAAGAGGGCAAATACATGATTTTAAATCATCGTAGAGGTCTGAAGTCATAGGACTGAATGAAGTCGTACAGAGAAGAGTTTTGTTACAAAAACTGAGTCCTGGGACCTGTAAATACTGAGGAGGTTTGAGCTAAAGACTGGACACTGGCACTGGAGACTGGGCAAGAGGCTGGTGACAAGAAAGAAGCAGCTCTGGATGATAGGACCATCCTGAAGGCCGAGCAAAAGGTGCTTTGAAGAAAAGGCTACAACTTTAGAATTAGGTGGACTTGAGGCTTGAGCTTTGATTGAAGCAATATGAAGGGTGTTTTCTGCAAAGAGATTCTCTCAGCAGAGTGATGGCAGGGGTGTCTAGTAACGCACTGTTCGTGTGTGCAAGTAGGGTTTGTCCCCCTTCCTCCCTTTTCTGTCTCTCCTTTCTCGCCCCTCTCCCTACTCTTCCCCCCCTTCTTTCTCTCTTCTCTCCTCGCTCCTCTCTGTCTCTCCTCTGTCTCCTCTCTCTCTCATTTTGAGACAGGGTCTTGCCGTCTAGTTTAGGCTGGTCTTAAACTCATCCCCTGAGTGCTGGGTTACCAGCATGCACCATCATGCCTGACCCAACAGTGTTCTTGGTTAAGTCTTTCACATGAATGCATTTTGATTCCAGTTTGTCTTTGTTTCGTTTACTTTATAGCTATGATACTTGGGTGCATAGTAATGATGTTGATGCTGAAATTGAAGATCCACCAATTCCAGAAAAACCGTGGAAGGTAAATTCGTATTTGTATTCATTCCTCACACCCCCAACCCCCAGTCGTTCTTATGTAGTCCTAATCCCCCTTAATCCTCCTCAGTCATGGCCAAGGCCGTGAAGAGCTTGTCAAACTCTTAGGGGTAATGCCTGCAGTTTTGTTTCCAACAGTCCAAAGCCAGTGCACACTGTGCGTTGGGGTAGTTGAGAGGAGAGCGCAGGTGAACGTGGTCATACGTGTTATTTCGCTGAATTTGTGTTTTGCGTAGTGTTTTGTTTTTCAGGCTATGTAGTCCAGGCTGCCCTTGAACTTGTCCTCCTGCCTCAGCCCACGTGCTGGCATTACAAGCATGCTCCACCACTTCCTGCTACTCTTTTCATTTAAAAAATTTTTTTTTTGTTACTGGGAGTCAAACTCAGGACCTTGGGCTTGCCAGGCAGGTGCTTGTGCTGCTAAGCTATATCCCCGGCCCTGCTCTCTGTTACTCTTTAATTTTTAACATAGGAATAATTTTTGACCTATATAATCAACCCAGATTACTAGTGTGTTTTTTTTAACCTTGTTCAACATATTTCTGTTAGTGAGCTTTGAGAAAAAGCTTTCAATTTCATTTGTGGAAATTGACATTAACAAAAAGTAGTCTTCTTTAGAAAACAGTTTTGTTTGAGATAGAATCTCTTTATAGTGTTAGCTGGCCTCAAACGACCAGCAGTCCTGCCTTAGCCTTCCGAGTTCTGGGTTACACATGTGCCAGTACACCTGGCAGAGTACTTTTAGTTGGAATAATGCATTCTTGCCGGCTTTTTATGATACTGGGGAGTGAACCTAGAGCCTTCACACTGAACTGTGTCCCCAGGCGCTTTTTCTTTTTTTTTTTTTTTTTTTTTGGTTTTTTGAGACAGAGTCTCACCAAGTTGTCTAGGCTGGGGACAAACTTTTCTTTCCCCCTTTTTTGGTGTGGGGAATCCAATCTAGGGTCTTGTACATGTGAAGGAGTTGAGCCATATCCCAGCCCTGTGCCCATATTTGAAATCACTCATGAGGAAGTGTTAAATTTGTTTTTACTTTTCAAAGGTAAAATTCTTAATATGTAAATTTAAGAATTCTCAGCCTATCATCCCAGCACTCTGGGGAGGTGAGGCAGGAGGCTTGGAAGTTGAAGCACAATTTGGGCAATTAAGCAGTAGCCTATCTTTTTAAGGGTGGGGATGCAGGGATCATAGCTCAGTGGAACAACCCTAGGCCATCCCCCCCCAAAAAACCTCATCAGCTATTGGCTTCAGGACCATAGCATTATGCCTGCTTTTAAAGAACCAGTATGAGAATTGTCTACTTGAGTGACATTTCTGTGACTTACATCTGTGCTCTCCATGATTCTTGGATATCAGGTAAAAAAAAAAAGTGCTAGAGAAAAATGAAACAAGTGATGCTGCACTTACTTTGTTTTTAGGAAAATAGACTCCCTTTTTGTAGGAGGAGGGGTGTTGGGAGTTGAGCCCTTGTCTTGTGCGTGCGGAGTGCAGTGCCTGTGAGCTGCATCTCCTGGCCTGCAGTGACTGTTCAGAGCACTGAGTGTACTGAAAACCATCCTGTGGATAGTGGTCTTAAACTCACATTATAGCCCAGGCTGCCCTGTAGCAGTTACAAATCCCTCAGCTCTCTGGTTTTTAAACTTTGTTGGTGATACAAGAAAACAGAACAGAAAATTACCTTGTACATTCTATATGCATTCACAGTTTTTTCATTAGAAACTTAAATAGTTGCTAAATGTGTAACTTGTTACATTGTAAATATTGTTGTATTTTTTGAAATCTGAATATTAGCATTCATACCCATCATTATTTATTTTAAAAATAAATGGACATGTTCTATTTAAAAAGTCAAATATGTTATATGTTTTCTTTTTCTTGAACCTGTATTTCTGTTACAGTGGAATATTATAATTTGTACTTCAAAATCCTAATCTTTGAAATGTAGACAAAATAGGAGCTAACTAACTGTATGCCACTTGTTGGAAAATTTAAAGTGGAGTTACTCCTTTCAATTTCTGTATCATCTTATAAAATAATGTCTGTATATTGTTTTTCTAAAACAATACTGATTGATTGCTATGGCAAAAATAGCGCTAATTTTTTTTTTCTTTTTTCCTTTTTTCCTTTGTTTGTTTTGAGGCAGGGTCTTGCTGTGTAGTTCAGGCTGGCCTTGACTTCATAGTGATCCTCCTGCCTCAGCTTCCTGAGTGCTGGGAACAGGCATCTAGTGCATACCTGGCTCAAGTTGTGAATATTAATACTTACGAAAGTATATAATAAAAAGGGTCACGTATCAGAGCATTCGCTAACTCTGATCACTCGCTGTTTAGCTTAGTCTGTGCCCTTTCAGTCACTGTATCATCATTATTATTATTACTATTATTATTATTATTATTTTGGTATTTTTTCCCAGTACCAGGAGTCAAACTCACGACCTTGCACTTGCCAGGCAGGCGCTGTGCTGCTGAGCTAAATCCCCAGCCCCAATGTATTATTTTTTTTATTTTTTTGTCATTTTGAGACAGGGTCTCGCTATGCAGTTCAGGCTGGCCTTGCGCTCAATTTGTAGCCCAGGCTGGTCTCGAACTTGCAACTATCCTCGTGCCTCAGCCTCCCTGAGCTGGGATTACAGGCGTGCGCCACCACGCCCAGCTCAGTCACTGTTTTAGATGTTGTGATGATCTTTTCTTTACGGTAAATTTACTACAAACATGTATAGGTCTACACGTCCTGTTTTTATTCGGCATTTCTTAAAAGCTTTATCACTGGGTTTTTTTATTTTAAATTTGCTAATAGTAAAAGTGATCTTTGTTTAAATATGTCACAATATATCCATTGTACTGTGAATGAATGTGTGGTTTTCAACTTCAGGATATTAGGAACAATGCTACTATAAACTCCTTTGAGCATATTGTTTGCTCTGTTACATTGTCAGAATGAAATACCTCAGTTAGAGAGAAGACAAACATTCACTTTTTAAAAACAAAGCCGGGGCTGGGAATATAGCTCAGTAGCACAAGTGCCAAGTGGCAAATGGCAAGAAAAAGGCCCTTAGTTCAGTTCCTGGTATGAAAAAAAATAAAAAATAAACAATGTCATACTGTTTTCCAAATAGTTACAAAAACTATTTTGCTGTGGCTATGTTTTCTGGTTGTTCTGTATCCTGGCCATTCTATATTAGATGAATATAGGATCTTACTGAAAACTTAATTTGTATTTCTTATATTCCCATCATTTTTTTCATGAGTTGTCTGACCTTATGGGTTTTGATATTCTGCATCCTAACTATTGTTAGTTACATGTGTTAAAAATGTTTTCCTAAGCTGGGTGTGGTGGCGCATATCTGTAATCCCAGCACTTGGGAGGCTGAAGCAGGAGGATTGTTGCAAATTCAAGACCAGCCTTGGCAACAAAGTGAAGTGTCAAGGCTGGTCTGAACTGCATAGCAAGACCCTGTATCAAAAAGAAAAAAAAAAGTTTTTTCTAGTAGTTTGTCTGTGTGTTTTCTAGTCTTGTTGTCATTAAGGTATTCTAAATTATCTTCTAAAAGATCTTTAGTTTTATATATATATAGTCTTTAATCCATCTGTTATTATAATAATAGTACAGTGATTTTTTTTAAAATTTATATTAGGGATTGAACATGGGACCTTGTGCATGGTAGGCAGGTACTCTGCCACTGAGCTATACCCTTGATCTTTGGAATTAATTTCTTCATAATTGTATGTAGAAAAAATACTACTTTCCATGGGCTGCTATATCACTTATGTCATGAAGAAAAATGTTGAAGTTGGGTTCTTCTCTCGGGTGTTCTAATGAAAAAATAATAAGAGCTTGGACAGAATTCAGTGCTAATCTAAGTTTCACTCCTACTTAGGTGTGTAAGCAGCTTACTGAAACTCTGCTTTCGTGCATTGTTTGGGAACGCTGGAGATTAATACCTCCATTGCTTCACCATGCTCAGGAGGATTAAAGGGGATCATATACATCAGGCATTTAGCATAGTACATGGCACAGTTAACAGTCACTGGCTTGGGTTTTTTTTTTGAGAGTCTTGGTATGTGGTTCAGGCTGGCCTTGAGCTCAGTGTGTAGCCCATGCTGACCTTGAACTCAGAGTGAGCCTCCTATCTCAGCCTCCTGAGTGCTGGGATACAGGTGTATACCACCATGCCCAGCCTTTGTACTGTTTTAAAATACTTTTTCAAAACAGTTTTGGATAGTTAAAAGATATGAACTGTATGTATTCATTCAATTCTTTTTTAATTTTTTTGGACAGTTTTATGTACTTTGGAAAACATACTGTTAGACATTTTTTAACATTACCCTTTTCTTTCTGTTTTTTTTTTTTTTTTTGGTTCCGGGAATTGAACCCAGGACCTGTCACTTGCCAGGCAGGTGCTGTACTGATGAGCTACATCCCCTGCCCACCCTTTTTTTAATAGTCATATTTCATTAGCTTGAGGCCTCTCATACGGTTTACTCATGCCATTTGTATACTCAGGAGATTGGTTAGTTTTATAAGGTCTTATTTTTTCTCTGGCAGCATGTTGTGTGTTTGTGTGCATTACTTCAGTTTGTAAGTGAGAGGAGGCATGGAGGCAGATAGGTGCCATTGGGATAAGGGAAAAGGGTTATCTTGAATTACCAATTTAATAGTCCTTTCCTTATTTTTAAAAACATGGGGCAGTAGGGATCCTAGATTGACAAAATATTTTCCTGAAGTCCATGTTGTCTTCTAGTGACTGTCACATCTTGTTCCGGGTGTTCTAGGAAGGCTTTGTAATTGTGCTTCCTATAGTTGTAGCTCCTATGAGAATATTTACTAGTTCTTGGCAAGGCATATTAATGTTTAGAGTACTTTTACACAGGGAATAATTATTTAGTGCCAAATTGTACTTGTGCCCCTTTGAATACGTTGGGGAAGATGGACTATTAGGCTAGTACTCTGGCTTAAATACCTGTGTCTGTGTGTATTATGTGCAACAGCCAGTGGACCCTTAAATTATTTTTGTTTTTTAATTAATAATTAATTGAGACAGGGTCTTGCTGTGTAATTCAGGTTGGCCTTGTAACTCACTGTTTAGTCCAGGCTGGCCTCAAAGCTCATGACATTCCCTCTGCCTCAGCCTCCCTTGGGCGTTCACTAATTTGCCTAGACTGGCCTCGAAGTTGTGATCCTTGTGCCTCAGCCTCTCAAGTAGCTGGGATTATAGGCTTGCGTAAGCACTGCTTATAGGTCTCCATTTTATTAGTTTTCTCTCAGAAATACCAACTCAAACAAGAGAAGCAGTGGAAGGAATGGGAAGAAGCCAGGGCCTGACCTCACTCACAGAACCCCATGTGTAGTTGCAAGGAGGAAGTGTCAGGTCTCTTGTTGGGGCACTGTTGATTGCTGTTAGAGTGTTAATGGGGCCAAGGACATAACTCAACGGCGCAGCACCTGCCTGTTAAGCGCGAGGTTGTGAGTTTGACTCCTGGTACCAAAAAAACTCCCCAAAACCGAACACTTTGGAGTGTTGATTGCCTGACTTTAGAAACAGCCTTAGTGCTTAGAGCAGTGACTGTTTTGGCTTTGCTGTTGAGTTTCTTTCTTAATCAGTTAAAGAAATGGAATAAAAATTAGAATAGGCAGCTGTGTGTGGTGGAGCACACTTGTCACCCCCGCACTCTGGAGGCAGAGGCAGGGGGGATCAGGTTTGAGGCCAGCCTGAACTACATAGTGAGACCCTGTCTACAAAAACAAAAAATAGAAAAGGTAAGTTGCACCTCACATATATATTATTAGTAGTGTATTCTTCACCCATTTTTTGTAACTAAGACTTTGAAAGTAGCCATCTTTTTTATTCTGAGTACTTTAAAAGCTTGAGTGATTTTATTATTTATGTAGATACTCATGCTTTGATGTGGCTTTAGGTTCATGTGAAATGGATTTTGGATACTGACGTTTTCAATGAATGGATGAATGAAGAAGATTACGAAGTGGATGAGAACAGGAAGCCAGTGAGTTTTCGTCAGCGAATTTCAACGAAGAATGAAGAGGTATTTCTTTGAAAGCCATTTCTCACTACTAGGTGTTTTCTTATGAGATCATCACTGATAAACTCACATACACACCAGCTTTAATCAGCCGTTGGGTACATGAACAAGTTCCTGAGAGCCCATAACAAACAACCGTGTCCCAAGGGACAGCCCCCACCCCCAATAGGTGTAGAAACCTTAAAGGATCGTTAGGATTTAAAGTAGCTTATGAAGTGTGGCAGTGTCACAGCTGATTTTATTTTCTGGATCTGTATTTTCATTTTCTATTCCAAATACCTTCCAATGTATTTCACATGTATTCCAGATAGCATAATAATATTCTGATTTTCCTTGGGAAAAAAATCATTTACTATCTTTTAATAATTTTGTACTAACAGTGCCTTGTGTATTAACAGCTTACAGCATTAAAGGCCTCAGGTTTAAAAGTTAACTCCTTTCTGAGTGTTAGATATTTAACATTTAATCCTCTTAAGTCCTGGAGCTGGGCATGGTAGTGCACACCTATAGTCCCAGCACTTGGGAGGCTGAGGCAGGAGGATCACCATGAATTTGAGGCCACCTTGGGCTACGTAATGAGAAGCCCTGTCTCAAACAAAAAAAGACATCTAAGCAGTTAAATATTTGCCCATAGTTTCTTAGCAGTCACAGCTGTAACTTAGGTGTGTCATTTGGAGAAGCCTGTTGATGTTGGGTTTGTGACAGCCCAACAGAGACCTATGATTATGAATTTTCTCTGTGAATACTAGATTTATTTTGCTTTTCATTTTTTAGTTTTTTGAAAAACCCTTGAGGCAGGTTATTTTTGTTTCTTAATGTAGAAAATAATAGATCTTTCATTCCTTTGGCAGCCCTGTGACTTTTTCTACTAAAACTTCTTTGTTCCACTATATATTTTTTTTATTTTAAAGAAAAATATTTTGAGGCTTGTGTTTTTCATAGTCTTTGCATTTGAAATTCTTATTTCCTTGGGAATTTGACTCGATACATTCCTTTTCTTTAGTGCATGTTTGTAGTCCTTGATGTTTCCATTGCTCTTACAGGATAGGTACATGTACCTAGCATATCTTACTTCTTTTTCTTTCTCTTCCCATCCTTTCCCCATTCTTCTCCTTCCCTCTGTCCTAAATCTGTTCCCAACTTTTTTTAATTCAGGTTTGTGACACACAATTTACATTCACTGTGGGTAATTGGTACATGTCCCAGATCCTTTCACTTCCCACAGTGGATAGGCTTAGATCCCCCGACCTTCAAGTCTGTGTGTGCGTGCCATGGGGGCAGCGGTGCTGGGGATGGAACCCTGCACTTCATAGACACTGTCCAAGTACTCCACCACTGAGCTACCCTTGTAGCCCAGAATAGTTTCTGTAGTGGTACATTTTTACAGGATCGTTTAGCCTTGCTTTTTAATTCCTTGAATGTTTTGCTGTCTGGAAGAGCCAGATGTGAACCCTAACCATTTTGCACTGTGCATGGTCTGGCTGTGTCTTGGTGATAGCGGGAGTCCGGTTGCTCTGGGGCCCTGCTGAGAGTTCCCTTGATGTGTCAGGAGCACAGCAGTCTCTTCTTGCCTAGTGGTCTTGCATGCTTAGTTTTGTTCCTTTCATTTGCTCTCCCTGAGTGGATTTGTGGAACCTGAGGCAGTAGAAAAGTCGGCCGATACTTATTTCCATTTACTTCTTCCCAGCCAGTCAGAAGTCCAGAGAGAAGAGATCGAAAAGCAGCAGCTAATGCTCGGAAGAGGAAACATTCGCCTTCTCCTCCCCCGCCCACACCCACAGAATCTCGGAAGAAAAGTGGCAAAAAGGGGTAAGAGCTGCAGCATGACTGAGAAGGCAGCAAAGCCTCCCAGGGACTTTGAGACTTTGGCATTTACTTTGGAAGTTTTGCTGACTTACTTTCGTCAGACTTTGATTTGTTGCAGAGTCTTACTTTGATGACTTGTACTTCTGGAGTATTTTCTTCCCCGCATTTTATGTCGTATTTATCCAAAGGCACCTTGACTACTACTTTTTTTTATAGGTCAGTGTGTATTGACAAAAGTTTCAGAAGTCATATTCACTGTAGTAAATGTGTTTCTGTGGTGTGCAGTCTGATCAAACTGACTCAAGTAGAACCTGTAGCTATTTCATGTTCTGCACAGTGCAGCGGTGTAGTCTTTGTTCAGACCAGTACACTTGTGTTTCATGAGCCTTGCTGGAGTGAGGATTGTGGTTTCTCCTGAAGGTGTTACCGTAGGACTTAAGTGAGACTTACTAAAACACTTGGATGCTGGGTGTGGTGGAGCATGTCTGTAATCCAAGCACTCAGCAGGCTGAGGCAGGAAGATCATTGCAAGTTAGAGACCAACCTGGGCTACAAAGTGAGCTGGAGGCTAGCCTGAACTGCATAGTGAGGCTCTGTTTCAAAAAGACAAAAAATAAAATGCTTGTGCATGCCTGATCTGAAGTGAATAAATATCACTTATTAGAGATAGATTATACTTAGTAATTTATTATTACATATTAAATAGATACTTGAAAATTTCAGGTTTGTCTGGTTTGAAATACTTTTATGTAATTTTGCAAAGGTCACCAGGTGTGGTGGCACACACTCAGGAGGCTGAGGCAGGAGAATTGCCAGAAGTTCAAGGCCAGCATCTACTGTGTAGGGAGACACTGTCTCAAAAAACATACAAAGAAAATTGCAAAGGTTGTGGTTTTGTTTTAGAAAACGAGAGTTTGGAAGAATTGGTTGTTTTTCTGTAAGCATGGATTGAGAAATTTATTCTTATATGATAGTAAATTTTCATTTCTGGCTGGCTGGACTATAAAGATCTACTTGGCACCTTGTATCCAGTTAGCTTCC